CGCCGCCGATAGTACTTCCTGTACTATCATCTTTTTTAAATATCTTTACCGATTTGAATCAGGTTTAAGCATACACGTATATATTTATTCAAACAAATAGCAGCAAAAAAGATGAGGCGCAAGGTATTTCAGCTAATTATCAAAAATAATAGGCCAACTTAATAATTGTTTCACATCAAAAATGCAAGCTATCTAATAACGACACAAGAAAAAGTATATGGCATGGAAACAACTTATTTATCAAACAACATCCTAGTTTTTATAAGGATATTTTTCACATTTCCAAGCTGTCTTTGTCATTCTATTCCTACTGTTAGGCGCTCGCTTCACCAACCGGAAATGTTCAAAACAACAGAGGAAAAACAACCAATAACTAATTGCTGTATGGCATGTTTTACTGCAGGAGTCAAACAAGCATTGCTTCTTTTTTTTCTGCCGAGAAATTAATCATTACCAAAAGCAATGCATACATATTATGTTCATTTGACTTAAAAACCGAACAAGTACGTTTCATTTATTTTTGGGGACATAACTTTCATTGTATTTTTTGTTTGTTTTTTTTTGTTTGTGTTTTACGTCCTTTTAACATGTATAATCATTTAAGGACGTGCCGGGTTTTGGTGATGGAGGAAAGCAGTTCCCGGAGAAAAACCAGCGACCTATGGCCAGTACCTTGCGACTGCTTCACGTAGGTTTCGTACCCGTGACCCAGTGTTGGAGGGCAAGTGGTAGCATAATGTCAGACGCCTTAACTTTCATTGTAAACGTTATTCGTTATATTTCATATGTTGAAATATGATATTTATGCATACATGTATGTAAATACATACGTCACTAATTGTTACGATACTATAACATGCTCAACACATACCACAAAAATGGGTTCCCTGTCCGAACACTTAATAGTACAAGTAGGCCATATTGTATCGTATTCAGCAGACACTATAATTAGCTGATGAAGTTATCGCACTTTCAAATCTCCCTTAAAGTTTCAGTGTATATCTGCTACAGGAAAGAAAGAACTCAAGTAACTCTCTTAGCACGAGGTCAAAGGTCAGGTGATTGACACGATAAGACATCGTGACCCTGTATGACCTTTGTACCCTATGTCTAGCCATTCATTCTAGTGACAGGACATGATGTTCCAGTTTATTACCGTTAATAGCGTCCGAGACCGTATCTAGCCCAATTGTGTTGAATTAAGACAAGAAATCAAAAACCCGCTGTTTGAGGCTAAATTCTAACCCAATGACCTCTAGTGTGAGTTCAAATCCTGACTCAATAACCTTTAGGTCGAGGTCAAATACTGACCTCGATACACCGAAATATACTATTTTGGGTGAGTTCGATTGGGGAATCTAATAAATGATCTTTCGCAACTATAGTACACTTAGTGAGCTTATTTTATCAATGATGGATCCAAGCTGTCGTGTCTTGATAACTATTTATATAAAGTAGGTGTTTAGGGATATATATGGGTTCCCGCTAAGAGTATACGTCAATTACTCGGAACCTGTACTTTCCTTTTTTTGATATGATACGATAACGCTCGCTGAAATTAATATCCAGACATATATCTAAAGCAACATGAATAGGTTTGAAATGTTCTGGGTGTTAAAAAGATGAAGTCGAAACTTAGGGATGCTTGCATTTCTATTAGTTTGCCTGTCAATTAGACAAAAGTATTTCTATCAATTGTTTAAGCAATCAAGTGATGACAAACACTTGTCATATCATCCCATATGTTGACAGGTCGACTCGTCATACTATATGTTGACACGTCTACATTTCATACTATGTGCTGACAGGTCTACTCGTCATACCATGTGTTGACACGTCGACCCGTCATATCATCTACATCCGTAGTCATGTCGACCGTCATTACACATACTGTGTTGACATATCAGTTTGCAATATCACCTTCTTTGTTGACACGTTTATACTGTGCTGACACGTCGACTCGTTATATCACCTACTGTGTTGACACGTCGACTCGTTATATCCCCTACTGTGTTGACACGTCGACTCGTTATATCACCCACTGTGTTGACACGTCGAATCGTCATATCACCTACATCCGTAGTCATGTCGACCCGTCATTACACATACTGTGTTGACATATCAGTTTGGAATATCACCTTCTTTGTTGACACGTTTATACTGTGCTGACACGTCGACTCGTTATATCACCTACTGTGTTGAAACGTCGACTCGTTATATCCCCTACTGTGTTGACACGTCGACTCGTTATATCACCTACAGTGTTGACACGTCGACTCGTCATATCACCTACTGTGTTGACACGTCGACTCTTCATCACCTACAGTGTTGACACGTCGATTCGTTATATCACATACAGTGTTGACACGTCGACTCGTTATATCACCTACAGTGTTGACACGTCGGCTCGTCATATCCCCTACTGTGTTGACACGTCGACTCTTCATCACCTCCAGTGTTGACACGTCGATTCGTTATATCACATACAGTGTTGACACGTCGACTCGTTATATTACCTACTGTGTTGACACGCCGACTCTTCATCACCTACAGTGTTGACACGTCAACTCGTTATATTACCTACAGTGTTGACACGTCGATTCGTTATATCACCTACAGTGTTGACACGTCGACTCATCATATCACCTACTGTGTTGACACGTCGACTTTTCATCACCTACAGTGTTGACACGTCGATTCGTTATATTACCTACTGTGTTGACACGTCGATTCGTTATATTATCACAGTGTTGACACGTCGATTCGTTATATTACCTACTGTGTTGACACGTCGACTCGTTATATCACCTACTGTGTTGACACGTCGACTCTTCATCACCTACAGTGTGGACACGTCGACTCTTCATCACCTACAGTGTTGACACGTCGACTCGTTATATTACCTACAGTGTTGACACGTCGCTGTTGTTTGTACTCCGTTGGTAGTGACAATCGATTCGTTATATAACCTACTGTGTTGACACGTCGACTCGTCATATCACCTACTGTGTTGACACTTCGACTGGTTATATTACCGTCAGCATTGACACGTTGACACTTCATAATACCTAGAGCGTTGACACGTCGACACGTCACCAACTGCGTTGACACGCCGCTCGTCGTATCAAAATAAGTGTTAGCACGTCTACTCCGCAGACAATTCCGCATGAATGTAATATCGATACTGTCTTGGCTCGATTGTTGAGCAAACTGAACAGATTTCTTGTCGACATTGTACGGCCTTGAAGGTTGGCATGTTTCCACTAATTACAAAGCTGTTAAAATCCATCAAAAACACACAGACAGGCTTTTCACATCGTCGTTGTTCTCAAACGGAATAGGATTTTACGTAACTCGGTAAATGATGCCAATCTTTAGCAAATTAAAAAGTTTAAAAATATATATTAACGATTGTCATTTACTCCAAACGTGCAATTTGTTTATAAAATAAAAATACTGAAAGGAAAACACTATGATGTATCACATGGTGATGGCAAACATCCAAAGCAGAACAAATTAAGAGAGGTTAGCTGCTAGTTCTATCAGTTAACTTTTAGCTGTCGATGTTAAAAAAAAAACTATCGCGCGAACAATAATGTGAAACTGGTGGACTGGTAGAAAGCTGCTGCTGCTGCTGATGATAGTGAGGCAATATAGATGACGCTACAACTCTGAAATAATGTCTGAGGCCGACAATGATGTATCGTACACAGACAGTTCTAACACGTCGCCTAACTTGTCTGGGACACATTAAGGTAATAACCCCTCCTGTCCGCTCGCGCCGCTTCACGCGCTGACACGTCATATTTCTACAGTAGTGTAATGACGGCTTACTTAGCACAGCGCCGCCAAGCGATGACAAGACGAGTAATTGTCCCTACCGTTGTTATTACACACCAGGAGACGCTAAGTGTTTACAATAGTTGCCCCGCTCATCCGTTATGTGATGGTTATGTCGGAAACGTTTTATAACACAGAGTTAAGGATTTTTAAAATCAATTTTCGATGATTTATGTATTTTAACACATGTTTATCGATCTTACACCACTGTATAATGCTTTCGGCGTACAGATGTACATCACAATGTAACATCCCAGCAGACAGAAATTCAATGTGTGAAACGTTTGTGGAGTTTTATGTTGCTTTATCATCGGCGATGTGAAACAGCATGCGACATTCTTTTCCCTATCTCATAAGCTTAATTCATATACATGTTGGACAAATCTTAAACTATAAAAGAAAAAAATCATGTAAGAATAGAGGCCTCCATATACGGCGGGGCGGGGTGGGGCGGGGCGGGGCGATATCACGTCGTGACCACACACATACAGGGTTTTATCTATATACCATCGTCCGGACAATTGAGCTGACAATATAGACATTATACCGTACGTGTTCGGACTAACGACATGACACTGCAATGTGTCCGGAATACAAGGCGACACTGTATTGTGTTTAAAATTGCATAAACATAATAACAAAGCTTAATATTATCATAAAAATGTATATGGAACAGAACCCTGCCCTACATGTATCCAGATAAACCGTTATGTCCGATAGATTTTGGTGTTATTACAAATGTACGACCACTCTCATTCCATGGAGTTCAGAAATAGGGTCCTCATTTAACCTGTGCGTAAGGGCTGAACAGGACTCACGATACTGTTAAACAGCACATGTGTCTACGACGACCAGCGAGAAAAACATAGATCTTATGTGTATGTGTATGCGGGTGCATTTACAATATTACAGGTGACAAGAAACAAAATAGAGATTAACGCGCGTTATTCATTTTGTCTGCAGTCCTGTTCCGTGTTAGAGGACCATACCACGAAATTGAATGATGTTGAATGCTTACAACTAAACATGGCTGAATATGTTTGACTTGAACACATACTCAAAGTAAACCTACATTTTAACTCTACATAAACAATTCCAAAAACTTGAGTTTTTATCACTAAGTATACTGTTCTATACCTATAATTTGCGTAAATACTTACATGTCAAATGAGGTCCCGGTCAGACAGTATTCCTTTACATGTTTAACTTTTTAATAATCCCTCAATATGCTTCAACCACGTTTAAAATCCGTATGATTCCTACGCCAATATTTTCTTGAGTGATTTATACATTAAGAATTCTGATGTATATACATATACCTTTCTATTGGGATAGCGAAGGTTTCCGCCTCAGACTTTACACAAAGGTAACCAGCGAATATGGGGAATAAACGGTGAATGCATTATGACACTTTTGAAATTCCTGTGAATAACTTTCTATAACGTTCTTTGTCAGCTTTTGAATGCCTATAGACCTTACACTGGTGAAATGAGTATTTAATAGTTTGGTCACGGCGATCAGTAGGTTGGATAATGTACGAACCTGCACACGTATACGGGGGCATTTAATTTGGCGCCAGATCAGAGTATAGAATACGGGTACAAAGGTATGTGTGAATAAACGGCATATTAGATATAATTAATATCACAGCGGTGTAGTATAATATACCGCGCTTCATCAAAAGTCCAGTATCACTTACATAGTTAATGGATTTTTTTTTATAGAAGTATGTTTACTGTCTAACTAAGTTGTCAAAACGGGGGAGAGGGTGTCAAGTCATCTTGTTAGGGGGCGAGAGAGGGGAAACGGGGGTGATATTGTCGTAGTCCGTCTGTATTTGATGTTTATACACACTAACAGCTATATAGTGCTCAAACCCTGTTGTTTGTACTCCGCTTATAGTCACAACGCCCGGTTGTTTGTACTCCGCTCATAGTGACAAAGCCCTGTTGTTTGTATTCTGCTTATAGTGACAAAGCCCTGTTGTTTGTACTCCGCTTAAAGCGACAAAGCCCTGTTGTTTGTACTCCGCTTATAGTGACAAAGCCTTGTTGTTTGTACTCCGCTTATAGTGACAAAGCCCTGTTGTTTGTACTCCGTTGATAGTGACAAAGTCCTGTTGTTTGTACTCCGCTTATAGTGACAACGCCCGGTTGTTTGTACTCCGCTCATAGTGACAAAGCCCTGTTGTTTGTATTCTGCTTATAGTGACAAAGCCCTGTTGTTTGTACTCCGCTTATAGCGACAAAGCCCTGTTGTTTGTACTCCGTTGGTAGTGACAAAGTCCTGTTGTTTGTACTCCGCTTATAGTGACAACGCCCGGTTGTTTGTACTCAGCTCATAGTGACAAAGCCCTGTTGTTTGTATTCTGCTTATAGTGACAAAGCCCTGTTGTTTGTTCTCCGCTTATAGTGACAAAGCCGTGTTTTTTTTGTACTCCGCTTATAGTGACAAAGCCCTGTTGTTTGTACTCCGCTTCTGGTGACAAAGCCCTGTTGTTTGTACTCCGCTTATAGCGACAAAGCCCTGTTGTTTGTACTCCGCTTATAGTGACAAAGCCGTGTTTTTTTTGTACTCCGCTTATAGTGACAAAGCCCTGTTGTTTGTACTCCGTTGATAGTGACAAAGCCCTGGTGTTTGTACTCCGCTTAGAGTGACAAAGCCTTGTTGTTTGTACTCCGCTGCTTGTGACAAAGCCCTGTTGTTTGGACTCCGCTTATAGCGACAAAGCCCTGTTGTTTGTCCTCCGCTTATAGTGTCAAAGCCCTGTTTTTTGTTCTCCGCTTATAGTGACATAGCTCTGTTTTTTGTACTCCGCTTAAAGTGACAAAGCCCTGTTTTTGTACTCCGCTTAAAGTGACAAAGCCCTGTTTTTGTACTCCGCTTATAGTGACAAAGCCCTGTTGTTTGTACTCCGCTTATAGTGACAAATCCCTGTTGATTGTACTCCGCTTATAGTGACAAAGCCCGGTTGTTTGTACTCAGCTTGTAGTGACAAAGCCCGATTGTTTGTACTCAGCTTATAGTGACAAAGCCCTGTTGTTTGTACTCCGCTTATAGTGAAAAAGCCCTGTTGTTTGTACTCCGCTTATAGTGACAAAGCCCGGTTGTTTGTACTCAGCTTATAGTGACAAAGCCCGGTTGTTTGTACTCAGCTTGTAGTGACAAAGCCCTGTTGTTTGTACTCAGCTTATAGTGACAATGCCCTGTTGTTTGTACTCCGCTTATAGTGACAAAGCCCTGTTGTTTGTACTCCGCTTATAGTGACAAAGCCCGGTTGTTTGTACTCAGCTTATAGTGACAAAGCCCGTTTGTTTGTACTCAGCTTGTAGTGACAAAGCCCGGTTGTTTGAACTCAGCTTATAGTGACAAACCCCGGTTGTTTGTACACAAAAGTCATGATAAAGTCAAACCCTGTTGCTTTTACACTCTAGACAACCGTATGTCCATGTTGTGTATATTTATGTTTAGACATATTTACTAACAATCATTTGTGCCTCATTGAATACAAACGTTCAGGAAAGATGTATGAATCTACTACCAGTACTTACATTATAATACGTCTTGTTAGTGTCACTGGTCTGGCATACTACCAAGCTGAAAGTCTGTTTGATATAAAAGTCCTCTTCTCTCACTTGTCACATTAACTTTAAAAAATGCTATAGAAAAAGAGTAAACAGGACATGTTTGTATTTAATATTGACTTGGAGATTAGTGTAAAGTTTACCTTACTTTAGTATATGTATGATGTGAGGCAGCGATCTATGTCGACATCAATATGTTGTGAGGCAATATTAAACATGTTTACAAAAATTCCCGAGGTTTCCGGGTCCTTTGACAGACATTTTAAATTGAACTGTCGAAATTAAAGTTGGTGAAATTAAACACTCTATCATTTTATTTATTTATTTTACAAATGTTATAACGTCTTCTCCCTTTAAAATGACATATATTACACATACAATAACGACATCTAAATATTTAAAGTAAAAAACGGTTTGTTATGAAGTTACCGGTAAATAAAGGTGCCGGAGTGACCGGTCGTTTAACTTATAAGTAATGACCCAGAACTAATTACAGGGGTTCAAAGGTCGTAAAGCTGTTTCTAAGTGAAGATGATATCAATGTACTTTATGAGCTGTAACCAGTATTTTTATATCACATCTATCCTCGTTTAATCTGGTAAACAACACCACACACGAAATAAACTGTAGTCTGCCGTATGTTACCAGGTTCAGTTCACTGTAGCTTTAAGACACTATCAAATACGAATTAATATCTGTATGGCTTTTCGAAGAAAACGAGTGGTATTAATTTGGGTGTGACCGTCTGTCACATTTTAATTGTTGTTCAATAACTTCCCTACAATTGTTAATTTTCAATATAATTCGATATGCAAATGTATACTGGCAAGTCTTAGGCAAGTGTGATCGATCGTCATTGCTATGCATGCTTATAAATAGGAGGCTATTCAATTTTGATTTATTTATAATTTTCCATGCAATAAATGTCTTATAAATGTTTCAAATTCAACCAAATTCGACACTTACATTCATAATGGTGTGTCTCGGGATAAGTTAGACTTTCAATGTGATGTACGCACCGTGACAGATCCTACAACAGGCAGCCACAGCCACATCATAAGTGATCTGATGAATACATAAACTGATCATATTATGTGTCACTTGTTTCTTTTGCTTCTTTTTGCATTAATTTTTTATCAAATAAGTCAAATATCAACCATAACTGTATAAATCCCACCATACATATGTATGACTATGTGTGTAAAACTAATTATACATATATCATATAGGTAACTTATTTGATACAAATGTATAACTTATGATTTTGCTATATCATCAATATATTATATATTACTTCACCAAAGCTTAGTAATATGTATGTGTTGCTCTTGGATTATAACATGTGCAAATTTTCTTTTACAGTGGAAACTTTTATAAGTAAACTTACCTTGGCTTCCATCAATTGAATACATACATATATGTATATAGATTATGAACATAGTCATAATTTTCAGACATTATCTAGGTATCACAAAATGTAAACACTGAATATTTAATATATATTCAATTTATTTTTCCAAATATGTATCTCTTTATCATAACCTATACTGTAGAACGTGCATCCCTCATACTACTAGTATAATGATAATATTTACTACAGAAAAAGTTGTTATCTAAATTGTATGTGTTATCGTTCCTGGATCATAACATGTGACAATAATATGCCTCTACAAAAGTAAATATATAGTTTATCTAATTAGTGATGTTCTACCGATTGATAATATGTATATACAATTGTATATACAGCCGATATATGTTATATCCATGTAACCTTTCAATCAAGCCCCTTCATTGTGTTTATTTATTGTATGTATTCTATATATACTATAAAAACAAGATGTTTTCTGTATCCATTGACTGCTTGGCCTTTCGAACCATGTGACCATATGATCGTGCTATATACAAATGTACTTTATAAGTATGATATTGATTGGTGTAACTAATGATATAAACTTCAGTGAAGTGGTTATAACAAAACATAAAGCCACATATAGTTTTGCATTTCATGCCATAATTTCACATACCTGAGTTACAAATATAATCCCAAATACATATTTTACTATCGGCCGGTTCTTGGCCAAATGTAAAACAAAAACACGTGCATACTGTCTTACAAATCGCATGCTTTTGGTCTACCCCTTCCAATTAGCAGGTCAATATTTTGTATTATTAAATGTTATACTATTCTCAACATAAATAGAATGACCAGAACTATTTGAGTCTTAACATTCTACAAGTAATTACCCATGATTATTGTACATGGAAATGTCAAATATAGGACTCCCATTATAATTATATTCTCAATCAAAATACTCTATGTCAGATATATCTCATCAAAATTCATATAATAATGCTGGTTGGAAAGGGCGTACACCATAATTGAAGGCAAACCAAATCCTGTTCACTACTATGTTTGTGACGTTAATATCTATTTTTAGTCTTACCATGCTGTCTCTGATCATGTTGATCCCGTATTGCTTGTTAAGGTAATGAATCAGTTTAATGATGTTTATACCTCGCATACGGTCTTTTTACTTACTTTTCTGTTATACTTTCCATTTAATGTACTGTTTTACTCTACTCTAAGTCCACTCAGTCCACAGTCGAATTCCAGAGATTGTCATTATGCCTATCGTAAGCTTGTTTACACCAGAAACCTATTGATGTGTCCTAATGTTTACCACTCAACTGTCTTT